TTTTTTTTTTTTTTTTTAAATGTATGAGGTTTAAATTTTTGTAATCCCAGAATTTGGAATGTGTCTAAACTTCAGTGTAAAACCCTGATATTTGTGATTTCATTACTTTCTAGTAATAAACATTTAAATTAAATATATAAACAGTGTTGAAATTTAAAATGACACAATTAAACACACTATAATTATAATAGTAATAATAATAATAATAATAATAATATAATGTCAGAATAGGCAACAAGGTTTTTTGTGCATTTGATTAAAAAATTAAGTAATGGTTCATCAATGTATATATTATTTGTTTGGACAGTGCCATAAAAGTCAAGTCACATTTATTTCTATAGCACTTTATACAATACAGATTGTTTTCGAGAAGCTTTACAGTAATAAACAGAAAAAAAGTATTAAGGTTGCAAAATTCTTAAATTTTTAAACTAATTACATTTAAGTTATAAGCAGCTCTACAGAAAACAACAGTGTCATTGTTCAGCTCAGTTTAGTTCAGTGTTGATTCAGTTCTGCTCAATGACAGTATCAGTGTTGCAAAATGCATAGCTGCATCTGTTTATCTTTTAGGTATCGGAGTCTGAAGCAATTCAACCACAATGTGTGTCAGATGTGTTTTTTCTCGGGAAGGATTTCCAAGGACCATCATCTCAGCTATCCAATGGTGGAGTACTGCACCCCTGTGAGCATCTGGAAGACGTTGTGTTTGGTTGTTTTCAAATGGTGCATTGTTCAAAAATAGTGCTGGTGTTGTGCCACCCTAAAAAATGTTTACAAATATTTTGTAAAAATGTATTTGTATTATTATTTCTAAATATGATATAATTTCATAACTAAAATGTATTACATTCTATAATATAAATAACTATCAAAATTGTATATATATATATATATATATATAATAGGGCTGTCAAAATTAACGCGTTAATAATATTCACTTTAACGGAATTCATTTTATTACTACGCGATTAATGCAGCGTGCATTTTCTGTTTTACCCGTGGACTTGCCAACTAGGCTATGTGGGCACAGAGAGGCAAACAAATGTAATAATAAATGTGACCCTGGAGCACAAAACCAGTCATAATTTTTGGGTCAATTTTTTGAAGCTGAATAAATAAGGTTTCCATTGATGTATGGTTTGTTAGTATAGGACATATATGTAAAGGATATTTGGCCGAGATACAACTATTTGAAAATCTGGAATCTGAGGGTGCAAAAAAATCGAAATACTGAGAAAATAAAGTCTTTAAAGTTGTCCAGATGAAGTCCTTAGCAATGCATATTACTAATGATAATACATTTTTGATATATCTACGGTAGGAAATTTACAAAATATCTTCATGTAACAAGATTTTTAGTTAATATCCTAATGATTTTTGGCATAAAAGAAAAATTGATATTTTTGACCCATACAATGTTTTTTTGACTATTGCTACAAATATACCTGTGCTACTTATGACTGGTTTTGTGGTCCAGGGTCACATATAATAAATGTACGTTTTGCATGTTCAGAAGAAGTGCGCTGCCCCGTTGTGCGAAAATCCAAACAGGCTTGTGTAAGTAAATTGCTCAGTGCGAATAAAGAGAAATAATGGGAACCTGGTATTTCTATGTTCTTTTTCATGTGTCTAGTAGACATGAACAAGAACATCTATGAACTTTGAAACATGTCTAGTCTTCATGCTCTATGTTGACTATGGTTTCACTAATAAGAAGCATAAAGCATCCATATTTGTCCATCCCCATGTTGATCAGAGTATTAAAAACTTGAAAAGTATTCATTTAAGGTACATTTAGAACAGATAAAAATTTGGGATTAAGTTGCAATTAATCATGAGTTAACTCATGACAATCATGCGATTAATCGCAATTACATATTTTAATCGATTGACAGCCCTAATATATAATATTAGATATTTTATATATCTACTTTATTGTGTGTGTGTGTGTGTGTAGGTGCATTAATATTTTTGTTAGATTGTTTTTCTCTGAATTTTCTAAGCCTAAATGTCTAAACACTCCTGTCTCTGCCACTGTAATCCTTCATGCACAACAGAACATTTCCCTACAGCCTCTCTGTTACAGACCACCTCAGGAGAAGATGTGCGTGACTTCACCAAGGTGCTGAAAAACAAGTTCCGCTCAAAGAAGTACTTCACCAAACACCCTCGGCTCGGCTACCTGCCCGTGCAGACCATCCTGGAGGAAGAGCATTCAGAGACGTGAGTTTTATTCAAGAAGCATCTTTCCAGATGAGACCTCTCTAATTCTTGACTAAAAAGTGCAAGAATAAACTACTTCCTACATTTACATCCTGACTGCAGGATGCCGTTTCTCTATTGTAGCAATGACGTCTTGTCATTGCTCAGCCTCATGGGAAACATGCTTCTCTGTTTCTGTTTTGCTAAGGAGTTGATGAATTACTAAAGGTCTATTCATGTGTCATTCGAATGCTGGAACAGATAAGAGGCCGTTCATTGATGTAATTCCAAAGCTGCCGCTTTAACATCGACACACAAATGCTGCTTCCCTCTCGTGGATGTGAATTTAATTACAAAAGCAATCAGGTGTCTGTTTAGTGAGATTGAGGGGGAAATGAAGAGACAGGACATTTATCATGTTCACGGCAGTCATTAATATTGAAATAAAGCAGCTGTTCTCGCTGGATGTTGTAATGTCAGAGCACAGACAATAGTAGTTCTGTGTTGAATGTCTTTATTACGTGTCCTGCTTGTGGCTGTTTTGTCAACTACAGCTGCTTTTGTCCTTTTAAAACTCAAAAGAAACTCTTTTTGCTTTAATTAATTTTTGCTGCTACTTAGCTTATTTTTATATTTTGCAATATTTCTTTTTATTGTCCCAGACCCAGATGCTTAATGTTAAACTATTATATATTTAAAAAATTACATTTTTTAACAATGATCTAAACAGAGTGAAATAATCATTAACTAATATTTCTTGGATGATAATTTATTTTTATTTTATTTTGCACAAATTACGTCCCTCAATTATGGTGTCGTTTTCACTGCAATCCGCATTTTTTTTATTTATAATTTTTTTTATTTTGCACAAATTACTACTGTCCCTTTATTTATGGTGTCATTTCCACCACAATCAATATTTTTTATTTTATTATTTTATTTTATTTAGCACAAATTACGACTATCCCTCAGTTATGGTGTCATTTCCTCTCCAAACAACAATTTTGCCAATAATAAAGTCCTTCAAAGGTTAGTGTACATGTTTGTTTATTGAGAAGACAGTGACAATGAAGAGCTTGAGATGAAATATGAAACGTGATGCTGTGTGAAGAAAAATCAGTGGAAATATATTGTCCATTTATTACCCTATATGTTTTTTTTTGTACAGCACAATGGTCAACTACTGTGGATTTTTATATATTGCTGTATAAATACATTTCGATTTGATTTGATATTGTGAACAGAAAGCAATACGTTTTTTAAGCTAATATTATTTATGTAGTAATTGTGTTAAAACGTTTAAAATCATTTCTACCACATAATGAACAGTGATTTGAGATGTGTTGCCAATTATAATTATTCATAATGGTTTAGGGGGAAAGCTTTTTTGATTTGATTTGTTGTGTGTATAATCCGATTGTTAGTGTGAGGTTTTCTTGTTGACATCTCTGATATTTTCTCTCTCTGCTGTCTGTATGTTTCGCAGCCCTGTTGCATTTGTAAGCATGTGTCCAGAAAAAAAAGTCAGAATTGCCAGATTTAAACTCAGAAGTGTGGGGAAAAAGTCACAACTACCAAAAACTGTGCCTGAAACCATCTTTCATAATCGCCCCTCTTTCCTTTAGATCTGAGGATGTTTTTGGCAACTTCACATGAGATTCTTCAATCAGATGAGATCGTGGTGGCCTGGGATCTGAAGTTTGAGTTCTTTGTGTAACCCTGTTGAAATATGTTCTGTAGTATAACATATACAAGTTTGAATAAATAATTTCATAGTTTACTAAATAGAGTTTAAGGTTAAAAAAGTTAAGATTCATTGACCAGCAAAGAAGTTATGATTTTGCTCAATGAGAGAAATGTCTATGGAGTAATGTTCATTTACTGTATACAGCATTTAAAATGTTAAATATTTGTTGGGTAATAATATATGTGAAAATGCTTAAAAGATGCCTGTGAGAATAGGAAGAAAGAGTTACACAAATGTTTGTGAATTTATTTTATTTCTGAAAGTTTTGTGTATGAGCCAATCACAGGAAAGGTCAAAGAAAAGAGGAAGTGGAGAATGCGAGGAGAAACGAGGGGAGTGAGTTTTTGCGGAAAGGAAAAGACGGTTACTGTTAATGTAATGCACCAGAAAATGAAAGTGTTCAATACGGACTCTTATAGAAGACGTTAATGGTGATAGTTCTGTTTGTCTGAGTGATAAACTCATCACAGTTACGACAGATGTAAGTTTAAGTTAGCGCTGATTTAGTGACTAGCGTTTGCATGGACTTTGCTGACAAGCTAGCGGCTAGCGACCTTGATTAGTTAAGCCTGTGTGGGAATATGAGACCGACGATGATCAAAGACCTTCCCGGAGCCGGATAGTGTTATCGAGTGTGGACTTTGCTGAGATCGTCAACGATGTGAATCTTCTCTTCAACCGTTTTCTCTTCATCGCAAATCCTCCAGTCCTGTCTTCTGCGGCTGGCGCCTTTGATCTGGTGCGCGTGAGGTTACATTCACATTGAGTAAAGGTACCACTTGTTTGTTTGGCCTGCGTGGTGAAGCAGCCATTGGGTTTAAGGCTACTACGTACCCAAGCTACATTCAGGCCTGCATCATTTGAACATTTGACGGGTATTTCACGTTAAGCTAGGTTTTTGCCGGCTATTTTATTTTCTTGGGCCCTTATGTGTTAAATGTGAATTTAAATGCATTTGTGATGAGAAAAGTGAGTTTGACCAGACATATTCAATTTGTGACTTTTTTTCTTTTAAGTAAATCTGGTATATTTTTTATAAAACCTTTGTGGTCACTGACTCTGTTGATATCTTAAGTTAATTAAGAAAAGAGAGAAACTTTTGGGTTAAACGTGAAAGTGTTTATAGGAGAAAAGTAATTAAAAGACCTTTAATTTCCTGTTACAGTGTAAATATTACTGCTTAAATAGTGATTTAAAGAGGGAAAAGTATTTCCTATAATAAGCTAGTAATTACACCCACACAAGGCAAACACAGATAAGTTATTAGAGAAACCTCACTTATTTGATTGGATATATATTTAAAGAATTCAGGATAGCCACCTCTCATTATAGTTTAGCACACTAGAGAGGCGCTACATTTGCATGAGATTTCATCTTACATCACCCATGTTAGAGCATCTCACACCCCACACCGAGATGACTGATGCCGTTTTAGTGTGACAGGACTTTTATCATCGCTGTCTTCTGCTCCTCAAACTGATAAGAGCTGGAGTCGACCGCAGTGCAGATGTGTTTGTTTATCCGTGAGCTGTTCGCTAGAGGATGACCGTAAAGACAGATCACTTGCTGATCAGACCCCACGCGACTTCCTCCCAGAGAGACTGCCGTCATGCTTTAATGCCACTGATAAAAATGTACACATCTCTCACCATGACAATCAGTTCTGAGCAATGCGAAGTCTGCTTTAAAGGAATAGTTCACCCAAAAAAGAAAATTTGCTGAAAATGTACTCACCCTCAGGCCATCCAAGATCTAGGTGTGTTTGTTTCTTCATCAGAATTGGAGAAATGTAGCATTACATCACTTGCTCACCAATGAATCCTCTGCAGTGAATGGGTGCCGTCAGAATGAGAGTCCAAACAGCTGATGAAAACATCACAATAATCCACACCTGTCCATCAATTATCATCTTGTGAAGTGAAATGCAGCGTGTTTGCAAGAAACAAATCCATCAAGGAGCTTTAATTTTAATTTGTTGTAAACTCATCTAAATATTGCGCTGCACTGTTGTCTATCTATAGGGCAAAAGCAGCAAGAATGTGAAAAGGAATCACACAAGTGGAGTGCTTCTTCTCTGATTCCATTGATATTGGACATGTAATAGATGTCTCCTCCATCTTTATTCCAAAATATGTTTCATACATATGTTTGCTTGTGTGCATCTTACATATGACACTACAGTGTGTGTTTCGGTGTCTCAGCAAATCCTTAAAATGATATTGTTAATTACCTTAGCATTGCTGCTGTTGTTGAAAAGCTTCTGTGTCAGCATTAAACTTCTTTGGAGTTGACTGGAAAAGCTGCATTGTAATAAATATATATTTTTTGTCTCAGATGTTTCTGTTGTATTTTCAATCAAATTTTGATAAAGAATTTTAAAAGCCATGTTTAGGCATCGTTTAATTAAAAGATTACTCATAATCAGTCTCAAACTCAACTGAATATCAATAATGCGTGATTAATTAAGGATGTTTTGAACAGGATGCCATTTTAATCTCTTGTCTGATTATTGTCTGGGCTACACTGATGTTTTCCTGTTGTTATTTTTTTCCTTCCAGTTACAATGTTGCAAACTGAAAAGTGTCTATTTCTTTAACCAGGATGTTATTAAAGCCGACCACATCTCTAAAGATTACATAAATGTTTTCGTTTTTTTTAGGAGATGATGGAAACTTTTCTCTAATGGCTGTTTAATGGGGTAATGGTTTAAGGAACCCTTCATTCATTATGTAATTGATAATTACGGTATTACATAATACTAATTACAATGCAGAGCAGACAATATTTGTTGCTAAAAACACGCACCTCTTTATCAGTCTCTGTAAAGATAGTTATTATGAAGGCATGCATCATTTATTGAAGAACATTATTGCTCCAGAAAGCTGTGCTTCTTTGTTTAGCTTAAGAAATGTGGTGATGGTTCTGGGTGTATTATTTGTCTGTCTAAACCTTTCTGAGAACTCTGCTGTAAAAGCCAATTTCCATTAAGGTTACTGAAGCAGATGAGCCCACCTGACCACAGTCCAGCCCCTCAGCCCTGGATCCATTCAGGACATTTATCTTGGTTTTTCACCGTCTATGTGTATGTTTCGGCGCAGAGGCGAAATTATACTGAGATAGAAGCTGAAAAGGAGACGTAAAGTATTTATTTATACAAGTATGGCCTCATTAATGGTGACTCAATAGGCTACTCAAAAGCCAAACCCAACTTTAATGAACATTAAACACTGTTCTTAGGAAGCACATTAATTGTTTTATTAAAAGGGGTCATATGATGCGATTTCAATTTTTCCTTTCTCTTCAGAGTGTTACAAGCTCTTGGTGCATAAAGAAGATCTGTAAAGTTGCAAAGACTAAAGTCTCAAATCCAAAGAGATATTCTTTATAAAAGTTAAGTCAGCCACGCCTACCTAAAACAGCTTGTTTGAACACGCCCCCACATATCTACCTCACTATGTGGGAAGATTTGCATAACGCCGCCCAAATGTTCACGCAAAGTTGTGAAAGCGAAACTACTTTGTTTGGCCTTCCAAAAGAGGACATAATGTTTCTATAAATGGGGCGGTTCCAACTTTGCAAGGACAGTCTGGCGCTTCTGACTCACAGCCTGTAAGTACGGTTTTTTATATTTAAAGAATTAGCCACTGATTATTCAAACGTGAGTTTGATCAGTGTAGAGTAGCGCTTATTGTTTGTAATTTCTCCGATCACAAATGCAGACATGGTTTTATGTTTACGCGGCGCAATACGCAACACAAAGTGTAAAAACACAGTATAAGTCATTACAAGTTATAAATTATAAGTCAAACACAGTATAAGGTTTTGTCTCGTCACGCCGGACACATGGAAACCATAGACTGTATGATGGAAACACAGTATGGTAAGGGGCCTAACATTTCTGTCACACGCTTTGACTCACAGAGTGTAAGTACGTTTTTTATATTTAAAGAGTTTTTATATTTTATATATTTAAAGCAAGGTTTTTGGGCAGTGTAGAGTAGGGCTTTTTGTTTGTCATTTCTCCGATCACAAATGCAGACATGGTTTTATGTTTACGCGGCGCAATACGCAACACAAAGTGTAAAAACACAGTATAAGTCATTACAAGTTATAAATTATAAGTCAAACACAGTATAAGGTTTTGTCTCGTCACGCCGGACACATGGAAACCATAGACTGTATGATGGAAACACAGTATGGTAAGGGGCCTAACATTTCTGTCACACGCTTGAGGTATTCGGCCAATCACAACGCACTGGATAGCTGGCCAATCACAGCACACCTCGCTTTTCAGACCGATGAGCTTTGTAAAAATCGACACGTTTCAGAAAGGCGGCGCATAGAGGAGAAACAATAATGTACAGTATGTGGAAAATAATGTGTTTTTTGAACCTTAAACCGCATAAACACATTTCATTACACCAAATATACAAAATAATGTTCTTTTTAGCAACATCATATGACCCCTTTAACAAATTTGTATCTCTCAGGAAATGTACCGTGCAAAAGACCTGCTTTTTTGATTAGCATCTTCTGATTCTGAATACAGCAGCACCACCTGGAGGTAAAACACTTTACAAGCATAAAAATAGAGTGATGTTATTATAAAATAGATTCTGTAAAATCAAAGCCACATCATGCACTTCAAGTAATAAATGTATATGCAAATGCTTAAAAAACTACCAAGTAATTAGTGAAGCAAAGCATTATCCGCCCATTACATGATTGATGTAACACAGGCAAATTAATTTCTCTGCCCGCTTTGGTTAACGACTTTATTTTATATATTTGACACTTGGTTGGCTGCATATCTGGAGCCTAATAAAACGGCACATTGGCAACCTGGATTTCTCACACTTTATTAAATAATATATATATATATATATATAAATGCAAATAATGATACAACTGTTGATGTGAAACAACTGTTTAGGTTAGTTAACCTAGATGGACAAACGTTTTGATTATTTACAATAGAAAAAGGGGTTTGAGAACTAAGATGCATGAGGTCATATTAAATCGCAAATATGAAAACTGTATTACAAAAATTTCAGGGTTTGGGGAGTAAATTAACTGTACACTTCCTTTAAAAAACACCAACAAAAAAACAAACAATGGAAACCACACAGTAAATAATCTAACCTAACCTTTCCACAACTCTTCTTTAAAAACCTGAGTTCCCTCATACTATTATTTATATATATATATATATATATATATATATATGTATATATACACATATGGCTGGAAGACCTAGAGTAAATATATTTAAATAAATTCAAACATCACAATTGTTCAAAAAAAGAAATAAGGCTTTATGCAATATATAAATGCATTTTGTTCCTTTGGGGAAAAAATCACTCAAACAAAGACATTATAACACATTGCACATTGGCTGATGTCAACTCTGATAAATTCTTTAAAAATAAGCATTTTATGACTCTTCAGTTTTCAAAGATGCTAGAATTAGATTATTCAGAAACTCAAATGTTTCAGAATATTGCTCTATTGTCATCACTCAACACAAATGTAAGGACTGTCATACTCAAAATTCACAGAAAGCACATACAGTAAAACGTATCACACATCTAATCCCTTAAACAAAGGTCGAGAGAATTGTTTTCTTTTCAGATGAAAATATTGCAACATTTCAGAATGTTAGCAATCATAAAACATTGTAACTGCACACCTGAAAAGAATTACAGTAAATCATAACTTTTTAGGAACTGTAAACTTGACTTTCAACAAATAAAAGTAGAAGAGAATCACAAGCTCACGTCAAGTTTCTCACAGATAAACTGTCTATAATGGCATATGCTTGATGTTAAACCCCTGAGAGACAGAGAAGTACCGGCACATCTGCACATGTACCATGTGCAACCAAAAACAGGCTACAACTGCAGTATTGTACCTGTCCTGCAGGTTTTGCGCAGTGACTCACAAGCAGGAAGATTGTAAAAAGTAATAATTCAGCACATGCCATCAAAATAGATAAAGTACATTTACATTTCAGGATGACCACTGGAAGTGTTGTGTGTGACAGTACCAAGATGATATCATCCTCAAGGAGGACAACTATGTATGGTTAAAAATAAATGACCAAGGGAACAGTAAAGGCGGGTTATGTCCAGTATTGTATATGGTCACCATTTCATGTTCAATGTAGCTTTGGGTCCAAAAGTAAAACCAGTTGAGGACCACTGATCTATATGATACAAATAATTGGATTGTGTATTCCTGCATTACAAAAATGAAGACAATGGTTTTCCGTTTGGTCATCACCATTTAACAATTCAGTGTTTCTGGTTTGAAGCTACATATCTCAACAAAAGCAATGAATTTGTAAAAAAAAGACTGAATATACTGTATCAAAAGTGCAAGACAGCACAACCATCATCACTACAGCAGGAAGATATTGTTTATTAAAAAACATCTCTTGCAAAAGTGGTTTAAGTTGAGGCTCTTATTTTAAAGATTATGTCTCCAAACAAATCCCACGGTTCACCTAAACACATAAGGCATGTTGTATTATAAAATTAAATCAGAATTTTGACTACAGTCTATATCACTGGTTTAAGCACTGAACGTAGAGAGCGTCCCTCTTTTGTAAGTTCTCTTGTGAAACTCATACATGGAAGTGGGACAGCCTCTTCTCTCCGTGCTATGGTGTTAAACTTGCACGTCTTGAGGTGGTCGGCCATGCTGGAAATGTTGGCAAACTTCCACTCGTTCACGGTGTCAAACGCTGTACTGAACCGCCACACCTAAAATGAAAAACATCAGCAAGATTAGACTGTGAAAAATGTCAATTCGATACCCATCTACAAAGCGACTGTCTGAGATGCCCCTACCTCCAGGTGAGTCTCCCAAACAAAAGAGCAAAGCAGCGGTGATGAGGTCAATGCCATGAAGACCCATCGGATCATCTGCCACCTCAAGGTCCGACGTGTCCACCGCCTTGTCCTCCATCTTGGCTTTGAATAAATAGGGGTCGGAAAACAGAGTCCTTCGCCCATTGATAGTAAACAAGTTCATTCCCCTGAGTACCTGGAGATTCTCCAACTTGCGCTCCAGCCATCGGTTCTCAATTCTATAAGGCAAATGGTGCAGAACATTGTTGTGCATCAGGTTAGGCACAGGGATGGGCAAAGGAAGAGGTAGTTGGGGCAAGTGGGCCATTTCAGGCTCCCGTGCTAGAACAGGTATGGAATGATCAAGTAAAACCTGCCTTACGTTTGAAGAGGCATTGACCCTTTCAAGTCTAACCTGGCTGTCAGTGTTCCCTTCATTATGAAGTCCACTGAGTTCTATCCCATCATTCATTTCACCTTCTTCTTCAGAAGATTCACCGCATCCACTGTTCTCCAGCCAATCATCTCTTTCATCTTCAGGGTCTACTGGAAAAGGACAGTCAGCACCACCTACCGCTCCCAGATCTGAATCCGAATCAGTGTCACTTTCCTTTGTGTCATTGCTAAAGTCCCCATCGCCATTCCTAACACTGTTGCAACCTCCATTCTGTTCCTCACCATCAGGATTCTCCACAATCAAGTCAATATTTTTTGCACTACGGAGAACGTCCAAAGTGGCAGCAAAGCTTCTACTGTTTTCCACTGAAATTGTGTAAGGTCCACCATACGGTTCCTCATCTGTTTCAATTAATTCATTTTCCGGGTCTGAATCCTGAGGGCTGGAATTGTCCTGATTTTGCTCCTCCAGAGCTTTTGTCACAGTGGTCGCTACTTTAAGCGACTCCAGCAACATTCGCTGATCCTGGAGGGCCAAAGCCATGTCGAGCTGCTCCACGTCACAAACCTCCTTACTCAAGTTATCGTAGGACTTACGATCTGCATAACTCACTGGCCATCGATTCCATTCCATAGTGCAACACACAACGCTGGCTGGGCACGTTTCAAGGTGCTGTGCTATTTTGACCCTGGCTAGGGTGAATGGACATCCGAATCCATGGTTCAGACATGGGACTCTTTCGTACGGACACAGCAAGCGGTGCTCATTCAGTTTGCATGAGTGGAAAACCGCCCCACATACAAGAGGGCAACCCATGAGGTCACAGGAAATGCTAGGCTCTGGTCTTATCATACATCGGCGGTTGACACATTTCAGGCAATGGATATGAAGCTCCTCCATTGCAAATATTAGTGAGTCGCTTAACTCAAAGACACTACACCAAACACTGTGGAAGAAAAGAAAAGAGATCGTTAGACCTGATCTTATTTTGGACACACATGTGGGGTGTCTTTGTGATCAACACCACACGGCTTAAAATCTATGTATGCCATTCATGGGGAGAGTCCCCCCATTTTTTAAAAGGGATAAGTGTAAATCAAACCCGGTTGCTCTCTCGCAGTATGTTTACCAAATTACTAAACCATTGCACTGCCATTTCACAACTCTCCTAGAGTTGCACAGTCATGCCGGTTCTTCGAGGACGGAGAAGGAACATGACCCCTTGTTTCTGAATCATATATTTCAGGAATAAGTCATGGCTTCCACTCAAAAGAAACACTTCCACAAGGATCTTGCAATGTCATTCAAGAAGCTTCTCTCTCTACAGCATGACAGGGCTTGGCTGGACATGTGCAGCTAGACTCAGCCGGCATGACCTAAATACAAACCGTCTGAGTCAGTTGGGTCATGGGGGGGGGTTGTCATGCTGTGGTGTAAGCTTTGAATTATTAAGCTGACTTTCAACATAGCCCTCGTAATACCACCTGGGCATAAACATTGCGAAACGTTTGTGTACAATGCCGGTGTGTCAGCCTGCCACAGTGTCTTGTGATGGCTTCTTTTGAAACAGCAAAACACATCTGAGGATGTTTTCTGAATACTTAGATGTTTGGTATCTAGTGTTCATGTGCAATATGGCATACAGTTGCACAAGCAATCACTCATAAGGACTTACACCAGACAGCACACTTACAGCATGTCAGTATGACCACAAACATGACATGACTTCAGGATTCCAGTCTTAGAGGGGCTCAGATTTGTGGCAGTACATAGCTAGGTTACATTTTTGTGCAATAACTTATGGTTCAGAGCTTGCACAATAGACTATCATTAGCCATTTTTGTTTATTGTTAGTTCTGTACATGTATGATGCTTATTTGATTGCACTTTATTGTGTGCTTTCAGTGGAACATAAAGGTCAGCTTATCAGTCCAGCAAATCACAAAATAAAATGCAATCCAGTTGGAATTCTAATAGGTTCATTTATAGCAATCAAAAAACTAAAATTGCTAAGTATATATGTATTAAGTAAATATACCAAAAGTAAACATACCAAACTTTTTAACAACAGGTACGCTGACCTGTTGGTAATGAGCTAATGTCTTCCTACAGTTTTCCAATAAACAAACAACAACAACAGAGTCTAATGCTTAAATTAAACACTTCACTGTATAAAATTAAGGAAATATGACAAATGTATAACTGCTACATAATAATACATTTTAATCTTAATTTAATTTTCAAATGGGATGCATTCCATGAAACAAGAGAATGAAAAAGGACCAAAGTGGAGAAAAAAGAAATATTGTTGTTATTTAAAATATTCCGAATTGTATTATTCACGCCAGTCTACACATGTGAGTTGCAGTATAAGCTCAATATTATGGACAAAACAGGTCATTAAATAGTTAAATCACATTATTTTTTTATTTGAATTAAAAGAACAAAAAACATTAATTACAGTTGCTCATATGCCATAATTGATAACTGACAGCTGAGTTAATTATCTCGGAGTCATCAAGGGTCTATAACTTGTGGATCCTAATGTTCATTTATTGACCACAAAATGCATCCTAAACGAGACATAGCCATGGTCATGCACTCGATGATCCTAATAATCCCAAACATGAAATGGTCCTTAATATGACATGATGGCAATCATATTTTGCAGATGCACTGAACTCCAGTCAAACTCATGAAACCTGATGCAGCTTTTGTTGTTCTTCCTAAACTGGAGTAACGTTAAAACGACTGACAACATGAACCTGGCAGTGTCATGATCTCCTACAGATCAAAAATGAACTATTTAACGCCACTGAACCATCCTTAAACATCTTTATGGGTATCATTTACGGGTAAATGTTTTCATTCGTTAAACTGACAAACACAAAGCCTTTAGCATTAGCTGGTTAGCCGCGAACTGCAGGATTAAATGAAAACAACACAAACGCAATGAATAAACGTTGTATACCGACGAACAGTTATCATGCTAGTATGAGGGGGAAATAAGTATTTTGCTATTTTAACAAAGACCGGTCTGTTATTCAGTTGGAGCCGGTCAGGAAACTACTGAAAGTAAACAGACATTAAAGTGTCTTACCGTTGATCTGCGACGAATCTTCAGTAGTTTAATGAGGACAGCGAAGTGTTTATTTAATAAAAAAAAAAATATATTTAATAGAGTATAATGACAGTGATGTTTTCACTGCTGTCTGTGTTTCTGTTGAAATCTGTTTCACTGATACACTGAACTGAACACAGGCCCATTGGGCGGAGACTACACACACACACACACACACACACACACACACACACACACACACACACACACACACACACACACACACACACACACACACACACACACACACACACACACACACACACACGATAATAACATGCTGTTTGGGTATTACCATATTATTATTTTCAGTATTTTAGTGCCATTTAAATGGCATCATATGCGAGTCTGATATCAGAATACACGGTATATGATACCATTAACTGTATATGTCGTTTTATTTTTCTCTGTTGTACAATTCTCACAGTCACAATGTTTTTTTTTATCCATATTTGAAACAATATTTATTTACTTTACCCTTAGTCTAATCCTCATGGAAACCGGTTGATATACTGTAAGTATATTTAAGACAATATGATTTTTCAGTACATTTGAAAAATAACATTCTTTTCGTTTATGCTCTTTATGAGTGTTGTTATTGTTAAATGTTAGGGAGACATTTTAAAACCTGTCCTAATCATTCATTCATGCAACTATGGTATGTGTTCAGGGTACTATTATTCATACCATTGTGTGCTTCATTGAAACCATTACATTGATCTAACTAATGAAGATGGTTAACCTACCAATGGTAATGAGGATGCATGTTTAAAGCTTGATATTAATTGTTATACAAATTTACCCTTTGGTTTCGAAGCAAGAACTATGGTCAGATAGACCAACATAATGTTGTACAATGACCCCCGAAAAATTGAGGTTATTTGTAAACTTGAGTCATACATTAAAATGCTTTAAAAATATCAAACCAAGACCTAGAGATTTTCTTCACTGACTTTATACTGTTCTTCATTTTTTTAGATGTACTGTATGAAGTTCAAACAGGTGTTCTAACAAGGCGTAGATCCATCACATTAACTATGAGCATGTTCAACTGCACTCTTCACAACCACAAAGTGGCTTAATAACTCATTTTGTACAGTATATTAAGTAAGCTGTTAGGAAATCAAAAAGCATTTTTATTTATTTCACAATAAAAGACTAACTAAGAATAACTATTATAAAATGCACTATAGGTTAGCAGACAAAACTTTCAAACTGAACATATTTCACAAAACACTGTGTGTATATGAGATCCCAGGTTAGCTGGCCACCTCTGAGATATGGTGGATGTTGGAGAGAGTGAGCTGGGCCTCTTGGGTCGGATACGAGTTCCTGCTCTGGAGCCAGAGTTTCCCAAAAACGCCTGTGATGACAATCAGGATGAACAGCAGACCACCCAATACAAAGGTTTCCACAGGGGGCAAATCTGAATCTGGGGATGTTCAAATAAGTTGAGCACATTTGGCGAGTATGGTGACTCTAATAAAGACACAAGAGTTTCTAAGACTTACTTGGACTAGTATTCTCCATGTCAGTTTTGAGCCTTCTGATTGGTCCATACGAGACAGTGTGAGATGATGCAACATCCCTGCGTGTCCGTACTGATGCATCTTCAGAAGAGCAGTTCTGTGATGCACCAAGTGTTTAAAGTTACTATGATGCACAATGTTTCAGAACAACATTCTTAAAGGAAAAGTTCACCAAAACAATAAAATCGTCATTATTTATTCACCCACATATTGTTAAAAATTGGCATGTTTCTTGTACATGGAATTATAAAAGGAGATGTTTAGCAGAATTGTTCCAAATGCAAACTCAAAAGTGATTTCAAACTTTTAGGAATTCATACAGAGTACTTTTATGGTATTTTAGACCAATTGTTGACTCTGACAGACAGATGGGTGCTGGCGAAGCATTAGGTAAACTACTGTTCAAAAGTCTGAGGTCAGTAAGATTAATATTTCTATTCAGCAAGGATGCATTAAATTGATCAAAAGTGATGGTAAAGATTTTTTCATTGTTAGCACAATTTTACATTGTTACCTAAATTGTTTCCACAAAAATAATAAACAGCAAAACAGTTTTTAATTTGAAGCAACAAATCAGCATATTAGAATGATTTCTGAAGGATCATGTGCCACTGAAGACTGGAATAATGATGCTGAAAATTCAGCTTAGCATCACAGGAATAAATTTCATTTTGGAATATATTAAAATAGAAAACAGTTATTTTAAATTGTAATAATATTTCACGATATTACAGTTTTTACTGTGTTTTTATTTAATCAAACCAGTACAGCCTTGATGACTTGGGAACTCACAGGCTGGCACACCCCTCCTGTGTTATGACAGATCTGGACTTTGCAGTGCAGGAAAACATCCGTGTAGGAGCTGCCAACAAACTTGAACATTTGTATCCTGAACAGAGCTTCTGGTCCTTGACCATTCTTCATCACAGCTAGTGTCTGGTCATTCCACAACACTGGACAGCTGATGTGAAGAGAAATGTTAGTCAGTGTGATATTTGTACTCAAGGGAATGATAATTAAGTTGGATCGGATTTCTCTATTCTTCACAGAAACTACATGCTTCATAGCTTTTTTTCCTGGTGGAGAATCTCTTTGGGTAGTCAAGGACAAGCACAGCTGTAAAAATGAAACATACGGCTGCTGATGGTCGTCACATGATGATCTCAACAACATCCTTTCACACCTCTGGTGATAATTATGACTGAATGAAGCATTTAAAACCTGAGCAAAAGACTAATGAAGCTGTGAAGGAGGGCATTTACACTCTTAAAAATAAAGGTGCTTCAAAAGGTTCTTCAAGCGATGCCATAGAAGAACCATTTTTGGTTCCACAAAGAACCATTCAGTCAAAGGTTATTTAAAGAACCATCTCTTTCTTAACTTTTTATAATCTGAAGAACCTTCTTTCGCCACAAAGAACCTTTTGTGAAACAGCAAGGTTCTTCAGATGTTAAAGGTTCTTTATGGAACCATTTAGACAAAAAGGTTCTTCTATGGCATCGTGAAGCACCTTTATTTTTAAGAGTGTAAGGGGACAATAGAAGAGAGTTAATATACAAAATAAGTTTTTAAATCACTAAAATTAAATGCTTGATAGGCAAAGGCTAAAACTTATGTCCCAGACCTGTCCCTGATGAAGGTATACTGAATGTTGCTGTAAGGGTCATTGGTTGGTGTGGCCCAACATCTCTCCACTCTCAGAAGAAGATTCGCTGGAATCTGTAGGATGAAATTCCAGAAAGCTTCATAAGCACATTTAAAGAAGTGACTCCATTAGAAAATAATTATTGCTCATATGCAGATATACAGAATATGTGTCAGCATCTTACAAGAAAAATATGGTAAATTTTTAGTACATTCCACAAATCATAGGATCAAATTTTGACTGGCATGTTTAATTTGTGATTCAAAGTAATTTGCAGGATTTATGTACATGAAATCTTTCCTACATTCATTTAGTCGATTTGAGTAGAAATAGTATTTTCTAAAAGAAATATTAGAGATATATACATAGACAGACAGACAGACAGATAGATAGATAGATCATCGAACGAACGAATGATAGACAGACAGACAGACAGATAGATAGATAGATAGATAGAACATCGAATGAATGAACGAATGACAGACAGACAGACAGACAGACAGACAGATAGATAGATAGATAGATAGATAGATAGATAGATAGATAGATAGACAGACAGACAGACAGACAGATAGATAGATAGATAGATAGATAGATAGATAGATAGATAGATAGATAGATAGACAGACAGACAGACAGACAGATAGATAGATAGATAGATAGATAGATAGATAGATAGATAGATAGAACATCGAATGAAAGATCGAATGACAGACAGACAGACAGACAGACAGACAGACAGATAGATAGACAGACAGACAGACAGACAGATAGATAGATAGATAGATAGACAGATAGATAGATAGATAGAACATCGAATGAATGAACGAATGACAGACAGACAGACAGACAGACAGACAGATAGATAGATAGATAGATAGATAGATAGATAGATAGATAGATAGACAGACAGACAGACAGACAGATAGATAGATAGATAGATAGATAGATAGATAGATAGATAGATAGATAGATAGATAGAACATCGAATGAATGAACGAATGACAGACAGACAGACAGACAGACAGATAGATAGATAGATAGATAGATAGATAGATAGATAGATAGATAGATAGATAGATAGATAGATAGATAGATAGATAGATAGATAGATAGATAGATAGATAGATAGATAGAACATCGAATGAATGAACGAATGACAGACAGACAGATAGATGGATGGATAGAATGTTCTGTTCTCAACTGCAGCATAAAGAAAATGCATGGCAGCTTTTATGAAAGCCCTCAGTAGCTTGCGATGAGTAATGTCATCTATTCAGCTGAACACACACCATGTAAACTTTGACATAGATGTTGTCCTCAAGTGTGAGAGAAGGAACAGTGGTCCATTTATCCTGAAACTCTTCGTCTTTATACAGCAGCATGGAGACAGAGAAATTTCCATCCTCTGTGTTCAGAGTGATTGTCCTGCGGGGCAGAGAATGTTAAAAGGCTCATTGAAGGGGCTGAAAGGTTTGCTCAATGAATATGGAATGAAACTCTTGAGTTGGACCCCAGGGCAGTCTTTTGTTACCATTAGCTTCCTTTATTGTGTTTACATACAAACAAACAATTAGTGAGGGTCTCGGCCTTTTTTAAGCTTGGAAAAATAGTGATAATTAAAGCCATTACAACATATGGAGTGCTGCAGTCCCAGACAGACTGGGCTTTGAACCAAAAAGAGTTGCAGACTTAATTAACTGGTGATGTCATGACTAGCAGAAGCTCACCTGACATCCACTCTGATCAGATTCTCCCCGTTTTGCTGCTGAACCATGTAGTTTATGGGGTATCGACACCCAAATGTGATGTTGATGTAGCTTCTGGTGATGATATCGGTTTCATTGTTACGGATTGTGTTGGTGAACATGATATGAGTATCGTCTGATGCCTGAGGAAAACATGAAACAGAAATTAAAAATAAAACACTTTCAATTAATGAGTAAA